GCTGAACTTCCCCAAGAGATTTCAGCGATTTCCCTTTGTTCACCTGAATAGCCAAAAAAAAAGGAGTAAAGTGGAAAGAAGAAGCTTTCTGCTTAATTCAATATGAGCAACGGGGAGGGTAAAGAAGAGAAAAAGATGCGTAGGTGCCCAAAGAAAATGAAAAAAAAAAGAGAAAGGAAAGAAGAGACCACTTGGGGGAAACTTTTCGAAAAAGGGAAAAAAGGAAAATGGAGGGAAATCTCTGAGTTTCTTTTTTTTTCTTTTTGAGAAGTGAAAGGTGACGACGAAGATTTGCGAACCCCTCTTGAGGCATAAGCAATTTCCGATACTTGGACGGGAGGAGGGGAGATGGGGTCTATCACTATGCTCACGATGAATATGATATTGATTTAAAGTGGTAATAGAAATAGAAATCAAAACATTTACATCTATCTATACTATCTAAAAGCACGTGTCTCTGGTTTGAGTTGAGCTGTGAGACCATTTCCTTTACTAGAACCCATTTACTGGAAGGGGTGAAGATGTAGAAGGAGAGTCGTTCCACTATCAGCTCTCTAGATCTCTAGGTTGTTATTGATTTGATAAAGATGAAGAAAATCGATTTATAATAAAGAGCTAGCGGGTTGTGGAAGCAATTTAGTTCCAATGAGTTCGTTCCTCTGAGCTTTCTTTCCAAAAAAAAAACTATCTTTTCTTGCTAATCTCGTCAAGACTTTTCTGTATAACTTTTAAAGATTACAAATCATTACAAAATGATTACAAAATGATTTTTTCAAATCGAAAAGAATATCTTTTTGATTCAGTCAATGTTAATAAACAAAAGCTCTCCAAAATGAAGAAATTTTGACGGAAACGTTAAAACAAGTTAATCCGTGTTTTTGGTTTTTGGCGTAGAAAAAAAGTTCGCAAATGGATGAGATGAGGAATGTGAATTGAGTGGCTTATGAGAAAGGGTATTGTTGCGTTTTTTTGCAATCAAAATCAAATCGTGACTCTTTATGAACATTTGCGTTTTAAAGCACAAAGTACACTAGTGAAAAGCTTTTCCTAGTGTACTTTGTGCTTTAAAACGCTTTTCTCTCGTCTGGCGTACTGATTTATGATGAAGAGAGTGATCGGTGAAGCTTTCTACAGATCTACAGATCTACAACTTCTACAATTTCATCCCATTCTTTTCTCATGACTTCCATCTGTCTGAAGACTCTTCTCGGAACTTCTAGGAGCTCTTTTCATTCATTCAAATCCCTTTTCTTCTTCTGCATCATTCATCATTCTTCATTTTCTTCATTTTCTTCATTTTCTTCATTTTCTTAAAAGTTTCTCAGATTTGAATAGATCTAATGCAAAATAGGTAACTGAATAACTTATGCAATTGTTCTACAGAAACTTCTTCCACTTTTTATGTTCTCTAGACAACAATCCTTTTCTCAAGGGACCAATTGACAGCACTCAAAAATCTTCACCCAAAAATTTCCCTTTTCCTTTGAACTTCTCAACTAGTCTCTGATGCGTTAAAAGAGTCTAAAAGTTGCTTTTTTTTTCGTTCAATAACGAAAATTTGTTTAAATTGATCAAATTTTATCAAAAACTTTTTTGAAAACAATCGAAAACTCATCGAAAAGTGATTTTGTTTATTTGTTTCAAAATTTTTCTTTTATCAGTTGAAATCTCGAATCATATGTTTGATTGAAGTTTAAATTCAAGAATTTCCTTTTATTGGTTGAAATCTTTTGAATCATATGATTCGATTCAAGTTTAGATTTTCAAATTCAAGAATTATTCTTTTATTGGTTGAAATCTCGAATCATATGTTTGATTTAAGTTTAAATTTTCAAATTCAAGACTTTTCTTTTATCAGTTCAAATCTTTCGAATCATATGATTCGATTTAAATTTAAATTTTCAAATTCAAAAATTTCCAATGGCTTCACTGAAAATGAGAACTGAAAAAGGGAATGAAATTTTCACTCTGATCGACGAAAATGCCAAGCCGATTAGGGCTTTTGAAAACAAGAAAAAAAAAATAAAACAAAACAAATTTCCCCCCGTTTTCCCATAAAACCGAAAACTCCAAAATAACGAGAGTAAGTCAGAGGGGGATTTTGGTTTGGCTAGAAAAAAAAGAGCACTTTTCCAATTTGTTCTTGATTTTATAAGTGATTTTTTTTGAAAAATCAAAAATTTGGAGTTATTTTACGGCCAAGCGTACGATAATCGAGCTATTTTACGGCCAAGCTTCATAGCTTACGATAGACTTATAGCTATAGACTTACTCTCGGTCAAGCTTACGATAATCGAGCTATTTTACGGCCAAGCGTACGATAATCGACGAAAAGTCATCAAAATTCTTTTGAATATAAAAAAGCTTCCAAAAAAAGGTTAAATTTAGTTAAAGAATTTTGTTTTTCTATAAAATTTGCGAAATTTCAAGGTTCGATTTATAATTGAAAACATTTCGTCAAAAAAGAAAATTCCCTTGAGCTTTAGGGTAAGATCGAGCTTTGCCCACATTACGTAAATCGTTTTTGATTATTTTGAGAAGAAAAGGAAATCGTTCAATTGTGATCCTTGATGATCAGATTTCATTTTGTAATACACTTTTTTTTGCAATCATTTAATCATTATTCTCTTTAAATCAATTGCCTCTTCTTTTACTCGGAAAAGTGAAAACTTGAAAGTATCGTTGATTGATAAAGCAACTGTGCTTTCTTTCTTAAACCTTTGTCACTCTTTCTTAAACCTTTGTCACTCTTCCCTAAACTTTTGTCACTCTTTCTTAAACCTTTTTCACTCTTCCCTAAACCTTTGTCTCTCTTTCTTTAACCTTTTTCACTTTTTCTTAAACCTTTTTCACTCTCCCCTAAACTTTTGTCACTCTTGCGTGGAAAAAGGCAAGAAAAACGCGAAAGTTAGTGACGATTTTCCGCTGGTATGCAATAATATGTACAGGTTTTAGCCGTAAAATTCGCAATTTGAAAATGAAATTTTGCAAGTTTAAAACTCAAATATAGTGTAATATAAAAATAGAAAAAATATAAAATAAAAAAAATGAGATTTAACTCCAAAATTCGACCTAAAACCTCTTTTGTACGTAATGCTCCAACGAGAGCACTCGATTTTTCCCCGTTTTGTCTATCTTTTTCGATTGCTAGCTTACATGATCGCTTTCCATGTGCTGCGGTTCCGTTCGGGAAACAATAACGATACTGTTCCGTTTAGCAACATTTAGCAATCAAAGAGATTTCTTTCTTTTAGCTAAACCTTTATCAATGTTGCGTGCTTTGGTATCAGAAGACATCTTGTTCTGTATCAGAAGGCATCTTGTTCTTTATCAGAAGACATCTTGTTCTGTATCAAAATACAATAACGATACTTTTCCTGTAGCAGTCGTTCTTAATCTTTTTTTTCCTAGTATCAACTGTATTTGTCATTCGACTTTTCTTTACATTGTCAACTTTGTCAAGAGCTAATCTATATAGATGTTTGAGTTGTTGCTGTTGTTGTTCGGTGAAAGCTCTTGTCACCAAAATTCCTTTAGTTCAAATTTTTGCTTACTTTAATGCAAATTCTGACTTAAACCAGAACAAAACCGACTTCATAACACCAAAACTTTAGCTTTTTGTTATGAAAAAGTCGAATAGAGAAAAGTTTTCGAGGTAACAAATTGGCCAAATTATCTCCCCGTCGTTCCACGCCTAAAGATGGAGATTTGTCCCAAAAAAAGAGAAAGAAGATCTAACGGTGTTTCGTCTCACTTTTCCTTTTCTTTCCCTTTCTTTCCTTACCTTTCTTTCTTTCTTTCTTTCTTCCTTCCTTCCTTCCTTCCTTTCTTTCTTTCTCTTTTCTAAAAGACACTAATTGGGATTTATCCGTTTTCTCCTTTTCTCTATTTTTTTCGGATTCTCAGAATATCAGCCGGACACTTCTTTATAATTTTCAAACCCTTATTGTAATGTACCCATTCAGCACTTTTCAGCAGTTTTATTATAGCTTAAAATGCTAGTAGATGTTCTACTTGAGTTTTACGATTGTAAGCCAGGCTAGGTGGACAGCAATAAGCCAATTTCTAGTCAGAGGGGGGTTGTCTTAAAGGGAATTTTTCCGGGTCAAGTCAGGCACTTGCTTCCGTTCTTGCCTGACCTAGCTATTCTGCAGGACTGTTGCACAAAAAAGAAAGTTCCTAGAACCAAACATAACTTAGAGCTGACATGGTTTACAGGTCCTGGTTAGAGCTCTCTGCTCCCAGCTTTAGAGCTCTCTGCCCCAAGCTTTAGAGCTCTCTGCTCCCTTAAAAAATGGTTTTAAAAGTCGGTAAGAGAAAATTAGAATACCTTTTAGATCAATTTTCAAAATTTCGTGCACTTTAACAACATGAATCATTGAATTCAATCGATCAATTGAATCAAAACTGAATTGAAAACTCAAAAAATGATTCCATGAACAATTGTTCGATTTTTAGCCCTCTATTTCGTCAAATTATTGTTTTTCAAGAGGTTGACATGAATATTTAATATTCTTTTTCTTGGCTTTATTCTTGGTTTACTTTCGTTTCCCAGTTCTTTTGACAGGATCAGTATGGGTTTCTTTTGGCCTTTTCTTTTGGCCTTTTCTTTTTTGAGAGGGTGGATCCGATTTCTGAGTTTTGTGTTCAATTTTTGTCTTTTGTTCTTGAAATTCTTGAAAATCTCATGACAGAGATTGATTTTCTTGATCCTTGATTTTCAGAAAGATGGATTCCTGCTTTTCTTGATCCTTGAGAGCGAAATTTTCTTTTATTATCATTATCATTTTTCTTATTATTGATTAATTTTGGTGAAAAATTCGAAAAATTAGATGAATTTTCAGAAAGATGGATTCCTGCTAGATTCATCAACAAAATTTCTTCTGATTTTGCGTTTCTTTATGTAAAATCAACAAAATTGTAAAGAAAAAAAGGAAAAAAAGGAAAAAAGGAAAAAAGGAAAAAAAAGGAAACAAAAGAAGTTCGCCAAAAGCGAAAAAATGAACGCTGATGTATGTCAAACGGTGCTCATCAAATTGCCCAAAGAGAGCGCTGTTTATGATTTTTTGGAACAAGTGAGTCGAGGATTGAGATCTCTAGATCAAAAGATTATAAAAGTAGTTTAAAGTTTTGACAACGTGCATTTTCTAGGTGCAACTCTTCTACCATCCAATTCACACATACATCTCGGTGTTGATGTGCATTCTCGGCACAGTGGCCAACTTTTGCAATATCGTCGTTTTAACTAGGTATTGCTTAGCTGATATTGCTGATATTGCTGGTATTGTTGGTATTAAAGTGATCGTAAATACTCAAATGACAGGCGTAGAATGGCGTAGTCAAACTTTGAACGTCTCATTCTCCTTTATGTTTTGTGCTAAAGTCAAATGTCAAATGTCAAATGGCCAAAAGGCAAATAGCCAAAAGTCAAATGGCCAAATATCAAATGGTCAAATGGCCAAATGCCAAATGGCCAAATGTCAAATGGCCAAATAGCCAAATATCAAATGTCAAATGGTCAAATGGCCAAATGTCAAATGTCAAATGTCAAATCGCGGTGTCAAACGATACAGTATATGTATAAACGATACAAAACACCATCATTTGATAGGGGATTTCATAAGATTATGGGTACACTACTGAACAATGAAATATGATATTTGAAAAACGATCGTCACTTTCGCGCGTCTGTAACTCCCTTGTCTTTGAGTTTAAACTATTAGTGTTATACATTTTCTGAAAGCTCTTTTCAAGGGCTACACAATGGTAATATTGATATTTAGAAATACGGTCAAGACAAGGGAGTTACAGACGCGCGAAAGTGACGATCGTTTTTCAAATATCATATTTCATTGTCCAGTAGTGTAGCTCTTAAAATCTAGTAATTTTTAATATCAATAGTGTAGCTGAGGAAAGTCTAGGAGGTGAGAAAAAGAAATTCGATTACGCGACTATATTAAAGTATTGCGTTCTATTAAAGTATTTACAGTAATCCCAAAAATTTCAGGCGACAAATGCGAACCCCAGTAAACATGATTCTGACGGCAATGGCCTGTTGTGACACTGTGGTTCTTTTCTCGAATCTCATCTACACTACACATTATTCTTTTGTGGCTTTTAAGGTAAAGATGGCAAAAAAAAACGTTGTCAGCTATCCTTAACAAATAACAGATTTGTTTTCATTCAATTTCATTAAATTCTATGTAATGAAAGAAGTAAATTAGGCAATTAGACAATCTTCGAGCTCAATGAGCTCAATTCAGTTTTTATCAAAAGCTCATCAAGTTCATCAAGCTCATGTTCACTAGCTTTTTCATAAAAATAGACATAAACAATAAATCCTTCTCTAGGAATGTCATCCGCGACATTGGAGTTACGGGTGGGCTCTTTTCCTCATCGCTCACGCGCATTTATCTCTCGTTGGCCACTCTTCATCAATCTGGCTTTCAGGTAAATTCTTTACTTGTTTCTCTGATAAATAGAAATGTTTAATTTGTTGTGTTCTAGTAAGAAAAGTTCTCCAAATGGTAAAGCTTTGTGAATGAGAGCTATTTCCCAAAAACTACAACTCAAATTTTCTCGTCTACATTTTCCACTAATCACAAAAAAAAAAGTTGTTGTTACCTGTTGGAAATATATTTGAAATATTTGAAAATGCACGTTCATCAGCGATTTTTGATCCTCAAAAGTTGGGAATTTTTCAAATAGAGAAAATTGGGTGATGTTAACCGTGGTTAAAAGGGATTTAAAAGAGAAATTTTTAGTGATGTTGGCCGCGATTCGATATCAGACATTGAGATGTCGAGGCAGTCAAAGTGGAAGACCGGTAAGGAGGGGGAAATTAAAGAAATTGAATAATTAGTAGAGGAAAATCTTCTTGTTTACAATTTGTAGCGATTTCTCGGTGTTGCTTTACAAAGCTAGTTGCTGGGTTGGTTCATTTACCCAACAGGCACGCGCCCTCGAGAGGCTTTGAGTCATTTGGTGACTCTAAGATTGAAAAAGTGCTTGTATTTATGAATAGATCTTTCCTAAAATAGAATAGAAAATGAAATGAAAATGAAATGAAAATGAAATGAAAATGAAATGAAAATGAAATGAAAATGAAATGAAAATGAAATGAAAATGAAATGAAAATGAAATGAAAATGAAATGAAAATGAAATGAAAATGAAATGAAAATGGAATTCCTTTTAGGTTGGTCTGAAGCACGCGTACATCGCGATCGCTGTCGTGATTTGCTCGGTTGTGGCGGTGAACTCGATCAATTTTCTCACCTACAAAATCCAGGAAATGCCACTAGATATGGTAACTTCTAAAAGTCAAAAAGAAATGTTATTTTAAATTTTATATATTTTTAAAGCTAGCAAACATTTTTAAAACATTTCAGACGTGCAATGTCACCGATCCGGCGATCATCAACGAGGTCGGCTACTTGCCATTGATCGCCGATTTAGCGCTCGACAATAATTGCTTGGTGAGAGGGTTTTTGAAGGCAAAATTCAAATATTAGGTTGTTCAGTTATAAATGCGCGTTTTTATGATAACAACTCTTTATTTTAAAACCAACAGCTTAACACGAAAAGTTGTAATAAATAAGAAATCTTGAACAGCATATAGAGAATAGGGTTTGATGAAATTGTATGCTGAAATTGTATAGCCCTATGGTATGCTGTTCAAGAGCAGGCGTGCATTCATAACTGGACAACCTAATACAATATTTAATGCAAGATTTCAGTGAGATTTTATCAATCACATTTTCAGATTTTCCGATTGTCTTTCTGGATCAGTGGGACGGTGTTCAAAGTAATCCCGTGTACTCTCTTGTCGCTTCTCGTTTGGCTTCTATTGCGAATTTTGAAAGAGGTGAAAAAGCAAGAAATTTGCATACACATGAAATCAAAATTTAAATTCGAATTTTTCATCACACCAAGAGCACGCCAAGAGCAAAAGAAAACCAAGAAAAAGTATACATTTATCTCGTGACAATAATTGCTTGCTGAGCGGGTTTTTGAAGATAAATTCAAATACAAAAAAAAAACCAAGAAAAAGATTACGTTTATCTCTTGATCTTTTAAATGACTAATATTGGGTTGGTGAATTGAAAACTGCGGGACTTTGAACTAAAATTTATTCAACATGAAACCATAAATTCATTCCAAATAATTTCCATTATTATTGAAGACTTCTGCCCATTTTACAGGCAATTTGATTCCTCTTTCGTAGTAGGATTTTGGTTTCGAATCGAAAAACTTCCAAAGCCAATTTTTGGCTGCCTCTTCCGAATCGAAGTGTTCTCCCGCAAGCTCATTACTCATGATCCGGAATAAATAGTAATCAAAAGGGGCGAGGTCCGGACTGTATGGGGAATGCGCCAAAAGTTCCCAAACAAGGCTGTTTATTTTAGAGCGAGTCAGTTTTGCTGAATTGAATCGAAAACTGCGGGGCTTTGAACTAAAATTTATTCAACATAAAACGATCAATTCATTCCAAATAATTTCCATTATTATTGAAGACTTCTGCCCATTTTACAGGCAATTTGCGGATTCCTCTTTCGTAGTAGGATTTTGGTTTGTGTGTGAGACTTAAACATGGAGGACTGGAGATGTCCCAGTTTGGGCACTTTCTCCAAAAGAAACCCATTTTGGTGTTAATAGAAAAGTTGTAGAGAATCAAAAATTAGGCTTATAGCTAAATTTCCAAAAAGATACACTTAGTAGTTTCGCTTAAAATGCAAGTTTTGTGAAAATTCGTAAATTTCGCATTTCTTGAAAACCAGTTTTTGAATCGTTCTGAAAATTTGGATATAAGCTTGATTTTTGATTCTCTACAACTTTTCCATTGACACCAAAATGGGTTTCTTTTGAAGAAAGTGCTCAAACTGTCACATACGCCAATAGCCGGCAGTTTTCAATTCACCAACCCAATAAATGACTAATAGAATCTCTTCTAAAGTACTGATCTTATAAATCTAATAAAGTCTTAAAGTATTTTATGTTTAAGTTTATATTCTACGGCAAATTTCATCAATAAACCAAAATTTCTCAGGTGAAAGAGAATCGTCATCGTCTTCTGCGCGGTTCTCGTCACAATGTCGCTCCACAAGTTAAAGCGACAAATGGAGAATTAGCGAAACTGCAAAGGAATGGAAGTCAAAAGTTTGTGGAAAAAAAAAGAATAAAAAACGAAACATTTCAAACATTCAAACATTCAAACTTTTCAGAGGCAATGGTCCAAACAATAACAATCCGGCTCGTGGCGGTGGAGGACACGGCGGAGAGAGAACCGATCGAACCACACAAATGCTCTTGGCTATTGTGATTGTGTTTTTGGTGACCGAATTGCCACAGGTGTGAAATGGGTTTTTGCAATATTTTCAAATCAATTTTACTTCAGGGTATAATGGCGATGTTATCGGGTATTTTCTCGGATGAATTCCGTCGACATATCTACAACGGTATCGGGGATTTCCTCGATTTGTTTTCACTGTTTGAGGCGTGCACATCGTTCATCATTTACTGCACGATGAGCGGACAATTCAGGAATGTAAGTGGCATTGGAAAGAAGAAAAACTTGAAAACTTTCACCTTTTTTACTTGTCTTGATCTGGGTTTGCAGAGCCAGATCAAGACAAGTCAAGTTTAAACGTTGAAAGTATCATTCCAGGAATTCCGTCGTGTCTTTATTCCGGAGAGATTCTATTGCGCGAAGAGGGGCGACAGTATAAGAAGGCCATCAGATACAACAGCTTACACACGAATGTCATTATTTCCGCCGAGTCGTTGCGATGGGATGAGCGGGTTAGTTTGAAGATCAAAACTTGTTGTTAGTTACACTTTACTAGTTAGAAATCATTGACGAGTAATTTCATTTACATTTAATTGACGAGTAATTTCATTTACATTGCTTTTCCATATTGCTAGACTGTTTAAGCTTTTAGATAATGACTGTAAACAGTTGTAAAACAAATTTACAAACTAGAATAGAAACTAGAATAGAAACTAGAATAGAAACTAGAATAGAAACTAGAAAGAAACTAGAAAGAAACTAGAAACTAGATTACACAGTTTGCCGCACACATTAACCCCACTAAACCCAAAAAGGAAACTCTTTCGCTTTGCCAACTCAAGAAAAAAAACTTCGCTAACTTTGTGTGATCTCTGAAATAACAGTTGGATTTTGTGTGGCTATCATTTCCAAATCTTCTCTAGATCTTATGCCTCTCCATCACCGGATGAGCGTTCAATTGCGATCACTGTTGTCGGATCAACGCAACAGGTGAGTGTGTGATAAGGGGAATTTGTATTCACACCATGTTATTCACCAAAATCACACAGATACCAGAGAGAAGTCAATCGGAGAATCGAGAAACGATTGAGGTAAAAGAAAGAGGAAAGGAAAGGAAATGAGTAGTGGAAAAGTGAGAGAGAAAGTGAGCATTTAAACCGGATTGGGCTTGGAAAAAGGATCTTTGGAATTGGCTTTACACACCGCCACCATACTTTCAATGGTCTTAAATTTAAGCCAGTTTAATGTAATAAGATTTGTGCATGGTACTGTACTTTTGAAAATTTCAAGCCTGATCCGTTTTGGGTTCACTCAAAACCTCGCTCCTAGTTGCTTCAGCTGATTTTTTTTTCACACACACACACCCCGACTGACTCATTTAACACTTCTTCAATACATTCATTGTCTTTTTTTTTCTTCTAGTCATCACACTCACATGACGGCTTTTCATTCTCGGAAAATAAGGAATAAGAGAAAGTGAATATTGTGGATGTTTTTTTCTTGGAAATGAATGAAATGAGAAAGGAGATTGTCCGCTAGTTGCATTCAGCCGATTAAACCAATTCCCTTGCAATGAGAAAGCAAATGAAAATCGTACTTTTGCACTTTTACAGTTTATGTCCAGGGTTTTGTTTTTTGGATACAAGGCTATAAAGATTTTTTTCTAAAACGTGGTAACTTTCGAAAGCTACCGTAAATTTGACTTTAATCTTGAATATAAACTGTTTAAGTGCAAGAAAGGGTGCAAGATGCAAGGCTTTTGAATGAGAACGAGAGGAAAGATGCCATGTTGTTGGAGAGTTCGATTTAACGTCTAGTCACACGTTTTCTAGAGCTGTAAATCTTTGTTCTCCAATTCTGTCTATAGAACTCTTTCTAACAACTCATTTTCATAGATATTTTGATAGAAGTGTAGTTTGATAGAAGAAAAGCTTGATAGCTAACACAAACTAGTGTCGGAATGTCTTGAGAGTTTCGAATTAGCTTAGCTTTTGATACTAATCATAATCTAATCATAATCTAATCATAAGCTATTCTTAAAATCAAACTCTCAAAGCAACATGAAAGAATGTGAATTTTTTTAAAGCAATTTTCATTTACAGATTCGAAGAAACAACTCTCCGGTGAGCCCGCTTGTTCCCCGGAGTCCCACACCTCAGCCAAAGAGCACACCTCAGCCAATACCCGAAAGTGATTCAAAAGATAATGATTCACAAGAAGAAGATTCACAAGAGAATATCAAAAAAACAAAAACATTGGCAATGACAACGAAAAACCCGGAGCCAACTCTGGAGGGAAAATCGCTCGATTCGAAAGGGGAAAGCGGAGAGAATTCCCTTTCTGAATCGCATTCCGAAGCTCACGAGGCGACACTTCTCCTAAATGGTCATCCTGTATCATATTTGTGAATCCGTGCACTAAGCTTGTACTAGACTTGCTTATCGGTCAAAATTAGTAATAAAAAAAACTCAAAAAGTTAACGTAAGTGTTCGTTGAGTTTTTTTTTCCGGTTTTCTTTTATTGACCAAAAGGCAAGCTTAATGTAACCGAAAATTGAAGATTTTGTAAAATTTTTGCAAAATATTCTCACCTCAAAATCCAATAGAAATTTTAAGCTCAATTTTTCGCTTACAAGCCTAATTGGTGCAGCTAATTGATTTTCCACTAAACGTTTTTTCCCACATTTGCTCGAAATAAGAAAAAAAAAGAATGGGTCTCTACTTCTTTTGAATCACCAAAAATTTCACGTTTACAAGGCGACAGGCGGGTTTTTGGGAGAAAAATGTTGAGGGAAAAAGCCGCTCGTAACCTCTTTCTTTAGGTTTTCCTTTTACTGCGTGTGGTTTCTTTTGTGCCTTCATGAACCGTCGTCAATATTTCCCTTCTTATTCTTATCTTTTCACATCAATTATGTCTAGGGACCGCCGCCTTCGTTACCGATTTTTGACCAAAAGTCTCGATGTCTGGATCTTATTTTTAAGTTAGAACTGTATTTTAGTTAAATAAGATGCGCTCTAAAACTTGGTTATTTTTGTTTTTTCGAATTCGAATTTTAAATGCCTTAAGAACCGAAAAACTAGTATTTTCATCGAATGATTCAGAATTTTCGCGTAACGGTTTCTACGACGATTTTTAAGACATCAAATCGATTGCTATAATCATGTAGGCGAATGTTTCTAGATCATTTACCTTCAAAGGGAATGTAAAAATATCGAGTTTGAACGAAGTTATGCACTTTTTTGTGAGCCGACTCCGTAACTTTCAGCCGCCGGAAATCCCCACTTTGCGTACCTTTCCTGTCGCACGTAAGAAAAAATGACGACTGGCACACTTGGAGGCTTCTTTACAAAAAAATTTATAACTCGGCTCAACGTTAGTATTTTTGCAAACTTTTTGTAGATATTTCATCTGTAAACATTTGGCTTTCTTTTGACATATAAATGAACTCAATAGGTAACCCCCTCCCTTCTTTAGACGCTTTTTGGCTTTTCCGCTATTGTGAGGCAGTGTACGGGGGACGTTTTTCAATCCCAATAAAACTTTTTTTACTTATAGGGGCAGTTTTGGTCAAAAATTTCGAATTTCATAGTTTGTCGAAAAACCGACGATTTTCGGCCTGAAATGGGCTTTTTAAAAATGGGGTCGCGGTCCCTACTTACATCTATTTCATTTTAATATAATATTGCCGGACGAAAAGCGGGTATCCACTATTAAACCTTTGATTGAAGTTGTATTTACCACATGAAATTAATGGTGCTAAATAAATTTTACTTTTAATTTTATTTCATTTGCAAACAACAACAACAATATACCAAGTAAAAAGTGTAAAAGCCCGTAAAAATGAGCACTCAAATGACAATTACCTGAAATAAATTTTGTACCCGTTTAGGAGGAATGTATGTGTAAAAACAACAACTAGACAATAATAATAACACAATGATCTCAGAACAACAATCGTACTGTTAAAACATAATTATAGTTATATGATAAAGGACCTGCATAGGATGAGAATAAATTTTGAGAATGAATACAATGAACCCTCCGACGTGGTTGCTAAAAAAAAATTATATAGACATTTCCTATTTGAATGTCCTATCTAGCTCTGCTAATAAGCGTACCACTCAAATTTAAAACAACAAACCTTTAAGACGGAGAGGTTGAACGCGAAGACTGTTGACTTTGAACAATTTGCTGTTGACGTCGTGCACCCACACGTGTTCCCATAAATCCCGGTTGAAAGCCCGTACTGTATATTCGGCTAAAAACACCAGTGTTATTTACTTCTTTAAATTAACATCTTGACTGAATTTAATACTTTATTAAATGCGAGATTTTACTTATCAAGATATCTAAAATTGCTGGAAACCTATCAGCTAGAAATAAATATAAATAAATAAATAGATACCCCTCGTATTGCTTCCTTTTAGTCATCTTCTCCACCACCTTTTGCTCGTACGCTTTGCGCAATTTATACAACTCGGAATTTTGCAAGATCTTTTCGCTTTTCAACAATGTCTTCTGGTGCACATCTTTGCGCACGTCCACCATCAATTTCTTGAGTCTCTTGCTATACTCGAAGAGAATCTCTTCCAGCTTCAGTTTTTCGCTGGATGTTGGGGCGATGCAGTTGGGCGAGTTGCATAGGCACACTTTTGCCAATCGCTGTTTCACGTAGTCGGTTCCATAGTGGAGCGTGATCGAGTAGCCAACAGGAATCGGCTAAAGAAAAAGGATTTAATTAAAATTTTTACAGACAATACATTTAGGATTAAAAACGGCAATAGCTACATAAAATCTACTACCTACTCTCTAGTTATCTAGGTTTTAATTTAATTTTGCATTAAAAATACCTCTGTGGCCACCACCACAAGCACAGAGTCTTCAATCCTTCTCGAGTTTCTTAAGATTCGAACCGGTGTCGTATTTGGAAGGCAAGAGTGCGCCATGAAACGTGCCACATTTCCTTTCTTTGATGGATCAATGTATAAAGTCGTATTTGGCTGAGGCGCCAAGACCTTGCGATCCGCGAACATTCCCTTTTCTTCATCGGCAGCCGCATACAACAGATATGAATACTCAGCGGTGGGGTCACCTTCGCTTTGGGCACGGCTTCTGAATTGCTCTTGGCTGATCACTTCTCCAAGAAATGGCATGATGACTTGTCGGGGAGGAATCGGCTCAGCGGCAACCACTTCGAAACCCATTTCAACACTCTTTTTTGCCACTTCTACTCGAAATCTCGTTCGGGATAGAGAGAATTGATTTGAGCAATAGCCTTTGCACGCACATTCCTTTCCACAGACGAAAATGATTGAGTTGTCCCATTCTACATTTTCGAATAACACCCCTGCCTGATCTTCCGACAGACGTGGGTTGCTTTCGGCCCAACAAGCGCATTTCTTGTTCCCCACACAGCAACACCCCGAAGTCACCGAAGTCATTTTGCAATTGCAAGCAATTTTGTCTTGACCATCCAATGGAATTTCATCCCTTTGGAAAGTTTTAATATTCTTCTTGATATAGACGAGTTTTGAAAGATGCTTAATCTCGTGTTCCTTTTCTTCTTCGGTGAGATTCAAATCAACGTAAATGTTGAGTAGCTCAGGTCCCGCATCCTTTGCCAACATGATCCTTTTTGAAGAAACGGGTGGTCGTTCAAGCACAAAAGTTCGCTGCAGCCTCTTCGTTTTCCCCTCTTCAATTGGTGTATCACTCATGAGATCCCGAATGACTTGTTTCTCAGCCAAAATCGGAATCATCCACTTTTCTTCTGTGTCTTGATTTATCAAATTTGATACAACCTCCCTCACTTCCAGATAGGCCAGATCAACAAAAGCGACGTTGGAGCAAGCTCTGTGATGTGCCTCTTTGTGTTCCGGTGCGAAAGACGGTGGCTTATATTCAACGGTTTGAGCGGCTGGTAAAAGCAGTTTCTCGAAGGACTCAGGAATTGGTTCATCAAACTCAGAATTCTCCGTCTCTTCGTCGGCAGGGCAACACGGCTTTCGAAAATCGGTTCGACATGGCACGTAATGTTCTGGCTCTTCTGTGATGTCATTGTGGGGTTTAGTCGCGGTTTCGATATCGCTGTTCAATACTTCAGATGATGATGCGTCCGAGGCGTCACCTTCCTTCCGTTCTTCAACGATTGGTGCCGTAGTACGCGCCATCTTCTTTGTTGTCCCTTTGAGCCGCTTCTTTCGTCGTTTCACGAGTTGATGGCGCTTCGGAGTGTCCGATTCATCCGATGATAACGTGATGATCTCCGGGTTGGTCGCCATCTTCAAAAATATTCAACATTAAAAAAATAGCAGAAACCGGAAAAGAAACATACCGTAAATACTGTAATAGTACCTCACCCCCATAATGACGGTGCGGAGTGTTGCGTAGTATAGCTTTGAACAAATTTTTCTCGACACTGGTTTATGCTACAATGCGCGCTTAGGTATCAAAAAATAGCCCTGAATTTCAGCTATTTTTTGATACCAAAGACGCATTGTAGCATAAACCAGTGTCGAGAAAAACTCGTTCAAAGCTAGACTACGCAACACTCCGCACCGTCATTATGGGGGTGGGGTACTATTACAGTATTTACGGTAGGTGCTACTGCACATAGGGGGACACTGATCAGCAGCAATGAATCGAATGATGCCATTTCCAAAGCTTTTAGGACAACTTGAGCTATTATTTGTTTGTTTAAAAGTCACTTTTTGTAGCGCCTATTGGAAGAAGAAGGGTTTGCCGGTCCGAGACTATAAAACTTATAGATCTAGATTAGAAATCTAAATGAAACGGGAAATGGATACAAAATGTGCAATCTGGGCGTTGTTTAAGTCTTTTAGGCTTCAAAATAAGTAAAACTTGGAAAGTGAGCGTGAACAGGGAGAAAATCTGTAATTTTACGAAAAATAAAATTCCATCTGTTGATCTGTGAGAAAAAGAATTTTGTTCATTTATTGTCTTTTAGAGCAATAGCCGTACGAATGACTCCAAACAACGCTCACAAAAGGTGGATTTGGCGAAAAAGATTTTACATTTAGGAAGTATAAAAAGCCTTCATAGCTAAGGAGTTTTTCATTTTTGATAAAGGTTTTCATTCTTTTTCATATTTTTCATTCTTTGGCTCAAAAATTCATGAACTTTAGGATCAGGACGACGACCCGGGCACACAACGACGAAAATTGCGCTCTCGATGATGCGATTAATGTTAGCGGTAAGGCAGAGGGTTTGCTCGTCGATTCGCTCAATTCATCGAACAAATCTTTTCTTGTCGGGCGACTACGAGATGCAAGATCCGAAAAGTGAGGAAGAAGTGGTCAACATCACCTACGTGCTGCGCGATGGGACTGAGAAACGAATTCGTGGGAAAATCGGCGACAATGTGATGTACTTGGCGCATAGACATGGCATCGAATTGGAAGGAGCTTGTGAAGCCTCACTGGCTTGTTCTACGTGTCACGTATATGTTGATGAACCTTTTGTGAATCGATTAAAGAATCCCGTTGAAGAAGAGGAGGATATGTTGGATATGGCGCCCGCTTTACAGCCGAATTCCCGATTGAGTTGCCAAATCATTCTCAGCAAAGAACTTGAGGGAATTAAGGTCACTTTGCCGAAAATCACGCGTAACTTTTATTGTGACGGTCACGTACCAAAACCACATTGAGATCATGTCATTTTATTTGCTTACTTTTTGTTTTAGTGCTAGATTTTGAAGATTCATTTACGAGTTTATTGTTGCTGTTTGTGTTTTCTGTGATATTTTATGGTTACTCGTTTAATATCAATTGTAAATATTTAGACAGAAGAATGTCGTTGAATCTGATTGGTGATTATGACAGTGATGGAAGTGATACATCGGCGGCGAGCGATGGGTTTTTTAGCTCAAATCAGGTGAGGGTTTACATTGTACTATTCTTGATACAATTTTGTTTTTAAGAGAGTGAGTGATGATGAGGAAGAGCCTTCTACTTCGGAAGAACCATCGACTGAACCTATTCAACAGATGTCTACATTGAAATCAGTATGGTTTTTATCTTTTGCTAAAAAATATATGTTTTACTTTTAAAACGTCAAAGAACATTTTATTTAGGCTCTACTTGGAGGGGATGACAGCGACGATTCAGACGAGGAAGCCGAAAATGAACAAGGCGCAATAAAGGAGACTAAAATAACGGTGATTTGCAAAATTTTATTCGATGAACTTCCATTTAGAAGCAGTACCATCTGATTCAAGGAACTTCGCAAGAGCAACTACCAAGCTTTGACCCTTCACGCAACACGGAATTGGTCAGTTGTACATTGTGGCTGAATTGACAGTTTGAAATTTAGGAATGCAACGTTTTCATGAATGACATCAAACGGGAGGAGTTCCTTAACAAGAAAATTCTTTCACAACACGTTTCGTTGACAGAGATCAAGATAGGGGATGACAAGCGAAAGAAAATGGGACCATGCAGGCAACATTTTAATTGATTGTTTTTTAGTTGATTGTAAAAATTAAAAAGTATCAGGATTCCAAATACTAATATTGATTTACTCTTTTCATTTTAGAGCTTACAAACGTGGGGATTGTCGACGAGGAGGTGAGAATGATTTCTTTATAATTTTATTTTTGCAGTAAATGAAAGGTTAATATCGTTAACTTTTTTTTTTAGATAAGTGCCGATTTTGGCACGCGTTACCAAGTGAGAAACAATACGCGCAACCCGAAGAGGCGGCGATTACCGTTTGCGAGCCAAGCCTCTACACGTCAGAGCATGATGCCTTCAAGAAAAAGAAACTTAACTAAGAGTGTGAGGATGATTCTATTTATCGTTCATTTGCCCAATTTTCCCGTCGAATAATTATTTTCTATATAGTATCGATCAAATGCACATTCAGAAACGCTATTAGAATTTAATGTGCACTAAAGCTACACTGAAACAATTTATTCATTTGAATATGAAGAAATATCCATACAAGCACTTATGGAGCAAATCATTCCAACATAAAAACACATTTTTGAGGCGGTCTGCAAATGGATTTCTCTGAGAAGCCGGCATTTTCCCGTTCGACTTACCGGGAAATCGTTGGTTTTTGATTCGTTTTTCTTCAAAAGTGCGTAATTTAGTCAGTACATGGAAAGCTGGCAGCAAGCCCCGGATCTCATCGCAGCTTGATCAGGTTTATTAACTTGGTCAGGTTTATTGACTAGAATAACAATTTTTAGACAAACGCAACTTCACAAGAAGATTTTCAATATCCAAGGTAGGTTTTTACGACATGAAATGAATACGTATGTGTTTTTTAGCTTTCGTGATATCGAATGTGTTTTCCCTTTGGCTCTCTCAAAAGAAGATGTGGATATGGTTCGAGATTATCTCAAAAAGGACAAAGAAGTTAATGGAAGTGTTGAGGTTGTTTATTATGAAAGGCATTTGTGTAACACAGCCTTTTGTAAGTGTTATTCACTCTTTGTATTTAGGACATGTTGCACTGGTTGTACGCTCATCGACACGAGATCAATAAACATTCTCAGCGAGTCGCACACGTTTTTCAAGCTCTGTTCGGCGATGAATCGAGATCAAAGCGGCTAAATCGGTAACATTTTGAAGCTTTTATCAAATTTTCACTACTTTTTAGGCGATCTCTGCTCTTTCCGAGAATGGCATGCTGCCACAGAAGAAGCTGAACAATAGTACAAAAGTTAGTTTAACATTTTTAATGATACCCATACAATAAATCATTATTAATGAAGTGAAATAGATAATTTAGACAAAATCTGGCAGTACATAAGAATTGACATGATAGGTATGATATTCAAAAATTTCTTTAGTAATGTAACAACGATGGTTTACTGTATCTTATTGATTGCTTTATCTTTTTTAATTCTGAATATTTTAGATGAAGAAATTACAAGAATCTCACGATGATGACCTCATTTCGATGAATTCCTTCTCAAATTTGATTGCCGCGCTGATGATGGACTGCTATGGTCAATAGGTTAAAGAAGCTTTACTTATGATCTAGTTAAGGTTTTTTTTTCGTTTCTTTGCGTTGGATGAGTGGTACTAATAAACATTTATCGGTTCATTAAAAGTTCTGTATAAATTTGTACAAACAAATCGGTTGAAACAAAGTTTGTTGGGACCTGGTTTTCTTTCTGTTTGGAGAGTTCTAACAGTTTCCGAAAAATCAGTAGATAACCCGAGAGTTTTGAAAAAAGCACACGTAAAAAAATAGTAAAAATTCCGTTCAGAGAATAAAGATCAATTGGATAAGCAAGAGCAAAATGACTAGAGATTTTGTGCAAAGAAAGTAAAAACGAATGAAATAATAAATCTGTAAATGATTGTGACAAATTTTAAATGACATATTCTGGGTTGACATCGTGTCCAGCCGGGAGATCGTTACCCTCTTCTGATGCAACGGAGGCCCGCTCTTCGGCGATTCGATCTTGAGCAACTGAACGTTTTTTTTATGGTGTTGATTTATTACTAAGTACCTTATTAGTCTTTTATTGAAATAGTTACAGAGATTTTTGAATATTCTATTTCCCTTACCACTTCCAGCTTGCGATGAGACTCGGGGTGCACGGGGGAGATGCGTGGGTCGTGGTGGTGGATGAGCTGAACCGGAGATAATCGAGGCATTGTCCTCCACACCGCTGTCCACTGTGCCATCTGAAAATTGGATCTCGTTTGGAAGAACGCGATTATGGATAAACTACTAATTTTCTGTGCTCTTAACACCCACCATCACCACGAGATGTTCTATTTGGATATGCATTTCGGAATGGTTTCGTTCTAGGTATATCTTTCGATAGATGTGCATCGATCGGTGGACTTCTTTTCTTTTCCACTTCCACATCTCCACTTTCAATTCTCAATCTTCCTTCATGTTCTGTGTCCGAGTGTTGCATTCTCTCCAAAGCGTCCTGGCGTTCCTCTTTATCCATGTACCAGATTGTGATAGCGAAGCTGAAATTTTGTGCTGATAACTTTGATCTACGTAATACCGTACACAGTTACGAGAGTATTGATTTTTGCATACCGATGTCTGTAGACGGGCATCACTTCGTGCGGATTTCGACGATCCGACCAAAAGAAAACTAAACGATCCGCTTTCGGGTCGACATCCATTGGCACTTCCGAGGTTTCCGGATAGAGACGAAGGGCTCCACCGTTCTGTAAAATTGAATTTAAATCTTGGATAAAAGATTTTGCTCACCCTATCAACATCCCAGTTCTCATTACAGTAGTAGATCGTCGTGATGCATCTGCCGTCTTTCATCGGATTGTCCACATGTTTTCTGAAAAAGAATCTATTTTTGTTAGGGTTATTTATTCTTTTTGTAATACAGTGCTTTAGGTCTGGCCATCGTGCCTCGAAACATCCTGAATAGTTGCCTCCAATCAAGCAAGGGAGTAAATAGTTGTGTGAGTTGATTTAGTGTTTTTTTAATATGTGAATTATTGTATTGTGCTATTGTGTAAATTATTTAACTTACACGTAGCGAGTGCCGTTGCCCGGATAGATTGCGATCATTGCCTAAAGTTTTGGAATTGAAGAACATATCAAAACTAAAGGTTTTATCAATGTGAATTCCGTTCAGGTAACTCACTCGACTCCGTCCGGCGATCGTGTACGGCGGAATGCGTTTGTTGAAATGAAGAATCACCGAGTCGATCATCGAAACGAGGAGCCGAACGGTGGCCGCGTCCTCGGCTCGTCGATCGGATCCGTCGAACCAGTAGATCTAAAGATTTCTTTTGAAAAACGATAACGCTTAGGTAAGTAATCAAAAAAGGAATCTTCTTGTAAACCCACATAATCTGATCGAATATCTCGAATATGATCTCCATCTCGACTTTTCCCATCGGCCACTTGTCCCGCCGTAAAAAGACCTCGATCGTGCAAGCGCTCGATTTCTCTGCAATTTGAGCAATTTATAAGAATTTAATTCTATATTCAATTTTTATTTTGATTAAATAATTTAGTCGCTCACTTGTACGTGAACTTGCACTGTTCGGAACCAAGAAAATTATCGACAACAGCCCAGCCGAACTCGTTCAACGATCGGATCACATGCTCGGCGATATACTGAAGTTGGATTTTAAAAATAAGCATTTCAACGCAACTTATAGATTTGCTTTATTTACCCACCCGTAGCCTCATGATCATCGATTGATGAGTGTTCAGCACAAGGCCCTTGTTCAACAAATGTTTCTGATGTTCTTGCATGGTTGTCTAAAAGTTGGATAGAAAAGAGAAAAACTGTTGATTACTTTGTAGAGAATATTCCTCGAATGATCGATTTTCGGTTTTGCCGGTCGATCGCTGCCTTGAGCCCGTTTGCGACAACCACGAGACGGGCAAAAGCTCGATTGTGAAGTGGAATCGCCGGAGGAGCTGCCCGCAACTATCTAGAAAAAGGGGGCTTAGTTTATAGCTTAAAAAGCTGTTACTTTGCATTTAGTGCTTTGTTGAGCTAAAGTAAGCAAAGAGTTTAAAAGTCTCCACCTGTATCTCGTCGTCGTCGTCCTGGCTGAGTGTCTTATTTGAAAGAGCCGATATGATCGGTTGAAGAGTGACCGAAGACGGAGTGGATGAAGTGGATGGACGAATTGAGACACTTGATGATGGATAAAGTGGATGAAGGCCAAGTGGACGGCGGGAAGAGGCTGAAGAGGTAAAGGGTTACAGTGAATCTTTGTAGGAAACGAACCAGTGGCTGCCAATTGTTGCAATGAGATCGACGATGAAGCGACGGGTTGTGAAGAGATTGATGAAGAGGCTACAGCTGATGAGGCGAGATGGGATTGATCGAGGGTGGGCACAGTGGAGGAGTGGTTTGTGAAGTTGTGTTGGGATATGGCTGAAATTGAAGGCTGTTTCCTTGTTCAAAATCATCATGTGACTATTTTAAAGTCTAGTCATGTCACTCGAAGCTGGATTCAGAGTTGGATTCAGAGTGAGATCTAGAGATCACTAGGGATTTCTTTTTTCGCAGAATTCCAAAGGTAAAAGTATTCAGTTTAGGTCAGTTTTAAGTACTAATGAGCTCAGTTACGAATCAAATTAGAATATTAAGACTTTGAAGATCTTTTCGCATGGCTAGACTTTGAAGAAGTTTGCATTTAAATCGCCCCTCATTTCTAATTCCCCACTAGACATCTCCCAGTGTTATCTGTCCCAAAAAAAACATTCACTTAGTCACGAATCTTTTGAGTGTTCATGATCATTTCAAAGTTCTCCGTGTTTTTCTTTGTTTTCTTTTTCCTCTCCACCGCAAATGTTCACCAGTTTGCCCCGACGAGAAAAATCTCCGATTTCACGCCGACACACAAAAAAGACGTGCAACATTCGAGGAATTTTTTGCACAAAATTTTTTCCTTTGCTGGGGTGATTAGCTGAGAGAGAGAGAGAGAGTTTACGTGGAAATTTTGCGGTTTTCGGGGAGTGGGTGGAATGTAAGGTGATGATTTTCGGGGGAAGATAGGACAGAATTGGGAAAAATTTACACTTTTCCAACAGTGCTCAGAGCTTTCCTATTTGAACAAGGTTAAAGTTCGCACGAATCTTTTCCATTTTAGAAATCTAGATAGCTAGATATTGTACCAGATTCTGTGTATTTATATTAAACTTCCATGCGTTTAGAGTAAGCCAAGTAAGTAAGTAAGTAAGTAAGTAAAGCTATAGTAAGCCAAGTAAGCTTCACAGCTTGTCTTACTACATTAAACTTTTCTACGACATCAATATACAGTACTGGACAATGAAATATGATATTTGAAAAACGATCGTCACTTTCGCGCGTCTGTAACTCCGTTGTCTTTGAGTTTAAACTATTAGTGTTATACATTTTCTGAAAGCTCTTTTCAAGGGCTACACAATGGTAATATTAATATTTAGAAATAGGGTAAAGACAAGGGAGTTACAGACGCGCGAAAGTGACGATCGTTTTTCAAATATTATATTTCATTGTCCAGTAGTGTAACTGCTATTCTTTGCCGAAAAATATGGTGGATTAAGTTTGTGCTCATAAACAACTCTCTTGTTTCCCTTGTTTCTTTCAGAATTCAAGGGAAATTGGACGTGCAAAGTTCTAGGCGGAGAAAAACGAAAACAAAAAAAACAAAAGGGGGAAACTCATGAGAGGAACTAAAAATTTTTTTTAGTGAAATCAAAAAAGAAAAAAGGGGAAGGAGAAGTGGAAGAAGTGAGCTCTCAAAGACCTCGCCCGGATATTTTTGTGTGTGTGGAGCACGTAAATGATGCATTGGCACGGATTCGTTGGGGGGAATTTTGGGAATTTTCGGCTCAAACATTGAGTCTTCCATTTGGTCCAAAGTTCATCTTTATTCGAGATTTATAGACAGTTTCAGTTCTCAAATTGCTCGAAGAAGATGATGACTGATCTTTTAGCTTGTTTTTGTGTAAAGCGATCTGTTTTTTGAGGGGTTTTTTTGTTTGTAGAAAACAAGAGAGATTGAATCATGTTGTGGTCAACTCAAACAATTTGAGTAAGCAACAAAAAAAGTGCATACTTTTTTGTCAAGCACGTAAAGTGGTGAAGTGAACGGGAATAACGGGAAAAGGGGAAAACAACAGAAAGGATTTCCAAGTAATGCCTCCAAAAGAATCGTTCATTTTCAAAGATTTTTGTTGTCTCTTTGGAACTTTGGTTTATTTTAAAGTTTTTCTATAAGATTAGCATGAAATGCTTAGTCAAAAGAGTAATAGTAATGAGTTCTAGATTCTAGAAAAGTCAATATTAAGAGAGAAGATTAAGAGAGAAGATCTTCTAGATTTTCAGAGTTGTAAATTTTATACTTTTTCTAGTTCACAGGGACTTTCTATTTTCTAGGGTTTCCTTGGTTTTAGAAAATTTTTTAGATGAGCAATGAGATTTTTGGTGTTTTGTGGGAAAAGAAGAGAATACAACGTGCATTTTGGACATTTTTTGAGGAAAGCTAGGGAGTAGTGTTGGGGAAAGGGAA